CCCAAAGGTATCCAGTTTTACTAGTATGTGTGTGTGTGAGAGAGAATATCAAGAGACAGTATCTGAATTCACAGACATGAGTTCTTCATCTTGTTTTGCCTTTTATATTGGAAATTGTTCCATAGCAACACATAGTTTCTTTTGTTGTTGCTGTATCATATTCAGTATATAAACTACCATAATTTCTAATTATTTAACCAGTCCCTACCAGTTTCCTGATTGAGATTTTCTGTCTTTCTCCCCTAAGAATTAAACCATGCTGACTTAGGGTTTATTATTATGAAAACAACATCGCAGTATTCAATTATAGAATGTATTGACAGACAATGCAATTATTTCCAATTCTTTGTTATTATAAACAATATGGCCAAGCACCATGGCTCACCCCTGTAGTCCCAGAACTTTGAGAGGCCACCACCTCCCTCAAAATTTTAAAAATAAGACAATGCTACACTGGCTGGTAAGTTGTTTTATCTGTGTATAGTGTATAGGTACAGCTACAAGATGAATTCCTACAAGTGGAATTGTGTCCAGGGGTATATGCAGTTAGGTACGGTAGATTTTGCCCAACTACCCTCCACAGAGGCTCTTTTTTTTTTTTTTTTTTTTTTTTTTTTGAGGTGGAGTTTTGCTCTTGTTACCCAGGCTGGAGTGCAACGGCGCGATCTCACCGCAACCCCCGCCTCCTGGGTTCAGGCAATTCTCCTGCCTCAGCCTCCTGAGTAGCTGGGATTACAGGCACGAGCCACCATGCCCAGCTAATTTTTCGTATTTTTAGTAGAGACGGGGTTTCACCATGTTGACTAGGATGGTCTCAATCTCTTGACCTCATGATCCACTCGACTCGGCCTCCCAAAGTGCTGGGATTACAGGTGTGAGCCACCGCGCCTGGCCTCCACAGAGGCTTTTTAGAGAGTTTTTTCTTTTTTTTAGAGAGTTTTTTCAAGTGTTAGAGTGAATGCAAAGAAAGAAGAGAAGGTAAAGAGGTAAGAACAGCTGGTAGGAGGCTGAGTCACAGGGATTCCTCTTTGATGAGGCAGAGAAAGCAGAGCCAGTGGAGGACTCACAGAATGTGGTTCCAGAGGTGAGAAGACCAGGATGCACAGTGACAGCAAAAGGGATGGGAAGGGAGAGGTTTCAGGAAGAAACATGTTGACTGTTTCAGAGGCCTACAAAAATAATAAAAAGAAAACTGGGTTCCAGGGATTAGGGGAAATAAGACAGGGATGAGCAGTAACCAAAAGTGGTTGTCTGGAAGCAACCTCCCAGTGCAGGAGTTTGGTTGACAAGCAGGAGAGCACCCTGAGAGCACCAGCCTAGGGAGGAGTGAGCTGTGAGGAGCCCGGTCCTCCCTCCCTCCTTGCATTTCGTAGAAAGAAGACAGACTACTTAGCAGTATACCCAGCAGACAGACAGGCTAGCCCCACCAGGCCCCTAGAGTGAAGTAGAGGGCAGAGTGAGGCATCAGACTTTCAGCTGAATCAGGGGCTGAATCCTCCCACACACAGCTCAGTCCTCTCCAAGCCCCAGCCACCAGGACCAAGGAGCAGGTACTGCCTTACCACTCCCTTCTTCCCACCCTCAAGAGAGCAAAGGGCTAGAGTGGCAATAAAACCAGCCCCTCCCTCAGTTACCAAGGGAAGTGCAGACTCTGCCTCCTAAGCCACTCCTTCATAGGACTAGGGAGGAGGACAGATGGGGGAAGAGAAGGGGAGAGAAGGAAGTACAAGCTGCTGAGCCTCCAGCTGCAGGAATCCATACTGGACTGGCCTGGCCACAGGCAGAAAGAGGAACAAACAAACCCATTCTGGGGAGAGTATCTATGTAATAGGAGAATCAAAGGTTTGGAAGCCCTCAGCACCCACAACCCACCCAACCTGCCTCATCCACCCTAGCCCTTAATGGCTCTACCCTGTCACTACTTACCTCCAACCTCTCTCTAAATGGACTCAGCTGAGAATAAATCCCTTGACACACATACAGTTTCTCCCATTTCCCAAAGCACTGCAGCACTCTAAAAATGGCCTAGAATGGCCTGGAGTTCATACTCAGTCCCAGCCCTACCTGCCTCCCTCAGTCTCCCAGGAAATCCCCACTCCATCCTCCCTGGTGGCAAACAGGCAGGTCCTAGGGGTTTCCAGATGAGGATGACTGCTCTCAAGACCATCTGGCCATAGTCCAGCTCAGCCCCCTGTGACCAGACTCCAGAGCTTCAGACTCTGGCCCTGGAGAAGGGCTCCTTGCGGCCCCTGTGGAGCAGGAAGGGCATGGGCAACTCAGGTCAATAAGAGTCATCACCACCTACACTTTCTGCAACTTCCTTGTGGAACAGGCTCCAGCCCTGGTCCAGTGGGACTTGGTAGCCCAGCCTGGCCCACAGACATGTCTCCCTCCCATCCCCAAGAATCCCCATCTCACCTCAGAGACCCAGGAGAGCTACTGGAAGGATAGGGAGAAAGGAGGACCCTTAGCCTGGAAGAGAGACTAGCCCAGGAAAAGGCTTCGGGGGAAAGTCCTTTCTCCACTTTCCAGAATGGAGACCACCCCCAGATGTGGCCCCAGCTCAGTCCTGGCCCTCAGACTCCCCAGTCTTCAGTTCTGTTATCCACTGGGCTACGTTGGGTTAGAATGCTAGCCTTCTACCAGAGAGGTGGTCTTGTGTGAAAAACAGCACAGGACTTTTGGAGGTCTCCCCTGGGGTGAATCCTAGGCCTATCATTTATAGGCAGTGTTACTATGGACAAATTCTTTTTTTTTTTTTTTTTTTTTGAGATGGAGACTTGCTCTGTCACCCAGGCTAGAGTGCAGTGGCATGATCTCAGCTCACCACAACCTCCATCTCCCAGGTTCAAGCAATTCTCGTGCCTCAGCCTCCCAAGTAGCTGGGATTACAGGCATGTGCCACCATGCCTGGCTAATTTTTGTATTTTTAGTAGAGACAGGGTTTCACCGTGTTGGTCAGGCTTGTCTAGAAACGTTGACCTCCTAATCTGTCCGCCTCAGCCTCCCAAAGTACTGGGATTACAGGTGTGAGCCACCATGCCCAGCCTACCTGGGCAAATTCTTTAGCATGGGAGTCTCAGTTTCCTAATCTAAAAAGTGGGATGACTGCTAGTAGCACCCTTTTTGGAGGCTGTTGTGATGAGGCCTGAGAGAGAGGATGTGGCACAGCAATCAATAAAGTGCTCACAGAGGTTATCAGAGGTGACCCGCCCCTGTGCTGGAGCCCCACCTAGCCAGAACAGCAGGTAGAGTGAATGGGGAACCAAGGTTCTGGACTGGCCCTTATCCGAGCAGACTGTTCAGTCAGGAAGGAAAGAGGAGGAGCCCTGGCCTCCACTTTGCCTTTATCCATGCAAGTAAACAAGGCTTGGCTACCAGATCTAAGCAGGGAGAGCCCTGTCTGGCTCAGGCGCAGACAAACACACCTGCCTGGACAGCTGACATCCCTTCCCTACTAGGTATACATACCAACAGCCTGACTCACCCACAACCCTTCTCATCCCCCACCCCAAAGACTCTAGGCTTCTATGCCCACAACATCACTCCTCTCCCTTTGGGTCGGCCACAGACTGGGCTTGTCTTCTAGTCTCGAATCTGGCAGTCTTCCTAGACCACCAAAAGGCCAATCCATTCCTAGGGGCTAGAGAGAGGCTAGTCAGTCCCAAGTCCAGTCAGTGGAGGAGACTATGGCCAGGCTCACCTGACAGGGCATCAGTGTGCCTATACCAGTGCTTGGCCAGGGTGCCTTTCTAGTCACCAGACCTTTCCAGACAGCTCACTCCCTCAATCAGCCTATCAGTGCCAGAGGTCAGGAGTCCTGGGGACTGACTCTCCCCTCCAGTACACACAGCCCAGAGCTAAAGGCCTCTCTGTGAGCACCAGCCCATCACCTCTGAACATCCTGAGTTCAGGAGCCAAAGTCTGGGCTCTGCCCTTCTCACTTCTTCTCACTCATGTCCCCTTTCCTTTGTTTACTGTTAGTACTGCCTACTTCTAAGGAGGGATTGGGGTAGAAGTGGAGTCCCCTGGCCGGCTGCAGTGGCTCATACCTGTAATCCCAACACTGTGAGAGGCCAAGGTGGGTGGATCACCTGAGGTCAGGAGTTCTAGTCCAGGCTGGCCAACACAGTGAAACCCGGTCCCTACTAAAAATACAAAAATCAGCTGGAAGTGATGGCTGGTGCCTGTAATCCCAGCTACTCAGGAGCCTGAGACAGGAGAATCACTTGAACCCAGGAGATGGAGGTTGCAGTAAGGTGAGATCATGCCATTGCACTCCAGCCTGGGCAACAAGAGTCAGACTCTTTCACACACACACACACACACACACACACACACACAAAAGAAGAAGTGGACTCTCCTTAAATCCTCTCTGATGTTCGCCTCCCCTGGGACTCCATAACCGATCCCTTTTCTGAGTCGCTTCAAACCCATCCATCCTGGCACCCTTCTCCTTACCTCCAAAGCCCTGGGTTCGCAGCTGGCGGTAGGAGCGGTACACTTCCCTCGTGAGGTAGTTGATGAACCCCTCCCTGGGTGCGAACTTGCACACGAAGTTCTGCTCATAGAGGCAGTTGATGAGGAAGCAGGCAGCGATGGCGTCCTCCCCGCGATCGGGCTGCAGTTCCACCAGCGCCAAGTTGCAGTTCTGGGTGGTGCAGCAGGCGCGCACGCAGTCCCAGCCCCGGCGCACGGTGGGGAACTCCAGGAAGGTGGCTCCGTTGCTGACTGAAGCGTTGGTGTCCAGCACGAAGTCAGGCACCCCGGCGGTAAAGCGGTTCAGGCAGTCGGCTCCCGCGGGCAGCCCAGGGGGAGCGGGCGGCGGCCCAGCCTGAGTGCCCGGGAGGCCGAGCGCGCACAGAAGCCACACGACGACGGCAGGGATGCGGGCCGGGACAAGGCAGGCGCACGCCATCATCCTCGCAGGGGCCGTCGCCTTCCTCCCCAGGGGGGTCACCTTCAGAGTGCGGGCTTCTGGGTTCCGAGAGTGCTGGTAACCTGAGAGAAGGGAGGGGACAGAGGAGGAGACACACCTGATCAGCCGGGGAGACTTCTGAGGAGGCGGGCCGGCCGGGAGGAAGCGGTGCGGGGCGGGGGGGTGGGGGGGATCGGAGCACCCCGGGAGGGAAGAGGGCGCACGGGCCCGGCCCTCCCACGCGCCCTCCAGGGACCCTGCAGCCAGACTGACAGCTAAGGAGCTCACGTACCCGCACACACGCACGAGCGCAGAACAAAGGGCCGGACATGCTCCAGCCGGTTCCGCCTGCTCCTGGGCCTCGCGCGCCGGTGCCCCGGTTACCTGCGCAGGTGAGTTGGGTGCGGCCGGGCCCGCCGAGGTTCCGGTCCCGGCTTCCTGCGCGGCTCAGGCCGCGGCTTCCGCTCCGGTGCTCGGAGCGCTGGGGCTCGGCCGCCTTCTCCCCCTAGTTTCTGGTGAAATTAAGTCAGACCGTCTGGGCGGGGCGGACATTAATCCCTTCGCCGCCGGCCCCGCCCACGCCTGGTGCGCCCGGCCGCTTCCCGGCGGAGGTCCAGGCCCGGTCCGCCCCGCAGCCCCGCAGCCTCGGCGCCGTTCCGGCAGCCAGCTCCCCGGAGGGGCTCGCGGGCTCCACCCAGTCCAGCCTCGCGAGGAAGCCCGCGCCCGAAGCGCATCCACAGCCCGGAGGGGACGCGGCTGGGACTCTAGGGTCCGGCCTCTGGGGCGACGGCCTCCCGCCTTCCTTTATGGCCCGGGACTGCACTCCCAGCCCGAGACCTGAGGCCGGATGCAAATAATCTCTCCGACCCTCGGAGAATCATTTACATTTCGTAGCGACAAGGGAACCCAGAAGTTGCGTGGCTGCACCTGTGAAAACTGGGATCCCGGATGTTTGCCCCAGTGTCAGCTCCGGGAAGCCCTCCCTGCCGTCTGGGTGAGAAACAGGAGATTCCCTGCGTCCAGGACGCCCTGAGTGCTCCACGGGGCTTCCCTGCTGTTTGAGGCCCCTCCTCTTCTTGTTTGTGCAGTTCGGTCCATTCCCTGATACGGCTCATTGGACTGCTGCCCCCTTTCCTGGAGCCTAGGCTTACTCTTTCACAAAGGGATGTTCCTGGCCACTCTCTTCCGGGGAAGTGTCATCCTTGAAAGGCTGGAGGTTCCAGTTCACCAAGTAGCTGAGTTAATGCTCTTCACGAAACCGTGGACTCCTTGAAGTTAAGCTTATTGCTCTTCCTGAGTAAAGAACTTTTTTTTTTTTTTGAGACAGGGTCTAGCTCTGTTGCCAGACTGGAGTAGCTGGGATTATAGGCATGCACCACCACGCCCAGCTAATTTTTGTATTTTTACTGGAGACGGGGTTTCACCATGTTGGCCAGGATGGTCTCCATCTCCTGACCTCGTGAGAGGACACCCGCCTCAGCCTCCCAAAGTGCTGGGATTACAGGTGTGAGCCCCAGCTGAGTAAAGAACTCTTAAGAGACCGTTCTCTGCAAGGCAAGGGTCTGAACAGGTGAAGGACAGATGAAGGCAGGGCTGGAGGAGGGAATCCCATAGCCTGCTCTCAAAATAGAGATTCCAAACCTTTTCCTGATGGCTTAACAACCCCCAACCCAATGGGAACATTATTCCCAGTTTCTCATTCAAAGCAGCTTTGCCTAGCAGATCCTGTGGCCAACCCTTGGATGATTCTGAACTGCAACACCCTCCAGCTGCTCATATGATGAGTGTTGGGGTGGGAATCAGGCCTGTTTCCCCTTCTCTGGATTTTTAGGGTTTATCCACAGTCCCTGGTACACTGGTGGATATAGAGCAATGATGGTATGCTGGGAATGAAGCAATGGTTTTGCAGTCACTGGGAAGAAAGGGTTTTGTTGTGAGTTGATTTCCCCTTATAGCTAACACATTCAAGAATTTGTTTTTTTTAGATGGAGTCTTACTCTGTCACCCAGGCTGGAGTGCAATGGCATGATCTCGGCTCACTGCAACCTCCACCTTCTGGGTTCAAGCGATTCTCTTGCCTCAACTTCCCAAGTAGCTGGGCTTACATGCAAGCACCACCATGCCTGGCTAATTTTTGTATTTTTAGTAGAAATGCAGTTTTACCATCTTGGCCAGGCTGCTCTCAAACTCCTGACCTCAGGTGATCCACCCCCCCTTGGCCTCCCAAAGTGCTTGGATTACAGGCGTGAGCCACTGTGCCTGACCTCAAGAATCTTAACACAGGGGAATATTACCTTATGGTAATATTACATTACCATAGATTTATCATTACATCCATTATACACACCATTATAAAAACCAACATGAATTCAGCACTGACAATGCCCAAACTCTGTTCCTAAGCACTGCCCACACATTACCTTTTACTCAAAACAAACCTACTAAGGTACTATTTTTAACCCCATTTTACAAATGAGTAAACAGGCTCAGACAGGTAAACTGACTTGTCAGGTCATTCAGCAGTGAAGTGGCAGAGTAAGGATTGGAGCCCAGGCGGGCCCCTCCAGGCACTTGACATAATATTACTAATGCTCAGGACAACTCTGGAAGTTGTTCCATTTTGCAGAAAGGTTCACTGACTCCATCAAGGTCAGATAGTGAATGAAGAGTGGAGACAGATTGCAGCGAAGTTGAGCTTGTGAGCTTCAAACTCAGACTACTGGATTTAGCTCTTGCATCTGCCACTTACTACCCCTGTGGCCTTATGGAAGTTATTTGATCTCTGCCTTAGCTCCTTGAATGGGAAGTGGGGCTTCATAGGGTTTGTTATGGGGATTAAATGAGTTAATGCAGATAACGCATTTGACACCATGAGTGCTCAATAAATGTTACTCGAAAACAACAACAAAAACACATGCTGGTGAGGAGGCAGAGAAAGGGAAGCTTATACCCTGTTGGTGGGCATGTAAATCAGTTCAGCCACTGTGGAAAGCAGCTTGGAGATTTCTCAAAAACTTAGAACTACCATTCAACTCAGCAATCCTATTACTGGGTATATACCCAAAGGAAAATATATTGTTCTTCCAAAAAGACACCTGCACTTGTACGTTCATCACAGCACTGTTCACAAAAGCAAAGACGTGGACTCAACCTAGATGCCCATCAGTGATGGAGTGGATAAAGATAATGTACTTTATACACACCATGGAATACTATGCAGCCACAAAATAAACAAAATCATGTCCTTTCCAACAATACGAATGCAGCTGGAGGCCATTATTCTAAGCAAATTAAGGCAGGAACAGAAAACCAAATACCACATGTTCTCATTTAAAAATGGGAGCTGGCCAGGCTCAGTGGCTCAGACCTGTAATCCCAGCACTCTGGGCCTCAGTTTGCTATATGTAAGGGGAAGGATTTTTTTTTTTTTGAGACGGAGTTTTGCTCTTGTTACCCAGGCTGGAGTGCAATGGCATGATCTTGGCTCCTCTGCCTCCGGGGTTCAAGCACTTCTCCTGCCTCAGCCTCCCAAGGAGCTGGGACTACCACCACACTTGGCTAATTTTTGCATTTTTAGGAGAGTCGGGGTTGCACCATCTTGTTTAGGCTGGTCTTGAACTCCTGACCTCGTGATCCGCCTGCCTTGGCCTCCCAAAGTGCTGGGATTGCATGCGTGAGCCACCATGCCCAACCTATAGCTCACTCTTTCCTTAGGCCCTGTAGCTCACTTTCCTACTGCAAGCTTTTGAAAGAGAAGTTCTGTGCCACAGGCTCCATTCCTACTTGCCATGTTACAAATACCAATCGTTGCTCTTAGGAGTGGATGATTTGATGAGAATATTCAATTCTTACCCCATTGTTAGAAGAGGAACACCGGCTGGGCGCGGTGGCTCATGCCTGTAATCCCAGCATTTTGGGAGGCCGAGGCGGGTGGATCACGAGGTCAAGGGATCGAGACCATCCTAGACCATCCTGGTCAACATTTTAGTGAAACCCGTCTCTACTAAAAATACAAAAAATTAGCTGGGCATGGTGGCACATGCCTGTAATCACAGCTACTCAGGAGGCTGAGGCAGGAGAATTGCCTGAACCCAGGAGGCGGAGGTTGCGGTGAGCCGAGATCGCACCTTGCACTCCAGCCTGGGTAACAAGAATGAAACTCCGTCTCAAAAAAAAAAAGAAGAGGAACACTGACTGCCTTGCAGTGGATGTGCTCTGGCAGTTTCTGTAGGTAGGAGTGGTGGACTGTCTGCGAATGTGGCCACCAGCAGTGCCTCCCGGTGCTGTGTGTGCGTGCTGCTTCTCCCACCAAAAGGTGTCGGTTTTCCTTCTCTTTGAATCTAGAACTTGCTTTGTCGAATTGGACCTGGCAGAAAGTGGGGCCCTGTGACTTTCAGGCCTTATGAAATCTCATAGCTTTGTTTTTCCGTTTTAGAGCTAGCTGTGATGCAAAGAATTTGTCTATACTGCATGAGAGAGATTCCACCTGAAGAGAGCAAGGCCCTGGAGGATGAGACTCTAAAGAAAAAGAGAAGAACCCACTGTCTCCCAGCCACTCCAGGCCCCAACCAAGGAGCTGGGTGAAGCCATGTTGCATCTTTAGTCCCAGTCAGGTTGCCTCAGCAGAGACTAACTAGCTGACCCTGCCAGGCCCTGCCCAAGTTACAGAATCATTAGCAAATAAATGGCTGTTTCTGTTTTAAGCTTTTAAATTTTGGGGTGGTTTCTGTCTTAATAGTAACTGAAAAAGATAATATATTTACAGAATAAACTTTAGGGTTTTGTTTGTCGAGACAAAGTCTCGCTCTTGTTCCCCAGGCTGGAGTGCAATGGTGTGATCTCAGCTCACTGCAACCTCCGCCTCCTGGGTTCAAGCGATTCTCCTGCCTCAGCCTCCCCAGTAGCTGGGATTACAGGTGCCTGCCACCATACCCGGCTAATTTTTTAATTTTTAGTAGAGACGGGGTTTCACCATGTTGGTCTTGAACTCCTGACTTCAGGTGATCTGCCCACCTCGGCCTCCCAGAGTGCTGGGATTACAGGCATGAGCCACCACCATGCCCAGCCAGAATAAACTTTATTTGTAATAATCTAAGTAAAAGCCCACTAATTCCTTATGCAGAAAAAAAGGATTTTTTTGAGACAGGGACTTGCTTTGTTGCCCAGGCTGGAGTGCTGTGGCACGACCATAGCTCACTGCAGCCTCGACCTTCCTAGTTCAAGCAATCCTCCCACCTCAGCCTCCAGAGTAGTTGAGACTACAGGTGCTTGGCACCACACCCAGCTAATTCTGTTAATTTTTTGTAGAGACAGGGTCTCACCATATTGCCGAGGCTGGTCTCTAACTCCTGGGCTCAAGCCATCTTCCTGCCTCAGCCTCCTGAAGTGTTGGGATTACAGGTGTGAGCCACTGTGCCCAGTCAATTTAACTTTCATTTCAAAAAGACAGCGCCTCTCACATACTGCAACAGCCCTGTTAAATCAAGTTTAGCACAAGCTGCCTCCTTACATATTTTAAGTTTGACCTAAAGTAGGTGAACAGCCTGTAACCTACTCTTGTGCCAAACAACAAGTTTTGGTCAAAGGGGGCCAACTGTTCAAACCCTGTTCAAGTAAGGAAAACACTGAGCTGTAACCAGTCTGGCGGTTTCTGTCCCTCACTTCCATTTTCTGTATATCACTTTCCTTATTTCGTTCACAAATCTCTGAGCCTACTCTGACTCAGGAGGTTGCCCAGTTTACCAGTCGTACTTTGCTCGGTTAAACTCTATTTTTTTTCAGACAGTTTTGCTCTTGTTGCCCAGGCTGGAGTACAACAGCACGATCTCGGCTCACTGCAACCTCTGCCTTATGGGTTCAAGCAATTCTCCTGCCTCAGCCTCCCTAGTAGCTAGGATTACAGGTGTCTGCCACCACGCCCGGCTAATTTTTTGTATTTTTAGTAGCAACAGGGTTTCACGATGTTTGCCAGGCCGGTCTCAAACTCCTAACCTCAGGTGATCCACCTGCCTCAGCCTCCCAAAGTGCTAGGATTACAAACGTGAGCCACTGTGCCCGGCTCATGAAAATGATCTAATTTTGTGAAAACCTGAACAATATATGGGGGAAAAAATGGAAAATAAACACACCAAGCAGATAATTTATACTTTTCTTTATTCATTTGTATTTTAGAGTTCTCCACAATGAGCACATTATTTTAAAAACTCATCTCTTAAATAATCATACTAATTTTAAAGTTTTCCAAATAAATGTATATAGTATTTATGTTAAATATATATGCATAGAGGGGTGGGTGTAGTGGCTCACGCCTGTAATCCCAGCACTTCGGGAGGCCATGTTGGGTGGATTACTTGAGATCAGGAGTTCAAGACCAGCCTGCCAACATGGTAAAACCCCATCTTTACTAAAAATACAAAAATTAGCTGGGTGTGGTGGTGGGTACCTGTAGTCCCAGCTACTTCAGAGGCTAAGGCAAGATAATAGCTTAAATCAGGGAAGCAGAGGTTGCAGTGAGCTGAGATTGCACCACTGCACTCCAGCCTGGGCGACAGAGCAAGACTCCATCTCAAAAAAAAAAATACACACACACACAGGAAAAAAGACTAGAAAAAAATAAGAAAGAAACTTGTCAGAATGTTAGAGGTGGTGGTTTTTGTCTGGTGGGATTATGGGAAATTTTGAATGTTTAAAAATAATTTTTTTTTTATATGGAGTCTTGCTCTGTCACCCAAGGCTGGGGTGCAGTGGTGCGATCTCGGTTCACTGCAGCCTCTGCCTCCCAGGCTTAAGAGGATTCTTCTGCCTCAGCCTCACCCTCCTGAGTAGCTGGGATTACCGGTATGTGCCACCATACCCAGCTAATTTTTTTTGTATTTTTGGTAGAAATGGAGTTTCACCATGTTTCCTAGGCTGGTCTCGAACTCCTGACCTCAGGTGATCCACCTACCTCAGCCTCCCAACATACTGGGATTACAAGCATGAGCTACTGTGTCCAACCATGTTTTAGAAAATGTAGAAAAGTTTCTAAAATAAACATGTTTTTCTTCTACAGTAAAATTTTTAATAAAAGTAAAGGCATTTGCAGGGCGCGGTGGCTCATGCCTGTAATCCCAGCACTTTGGGAGGCTGAGGCGGGTGGATCATGAGGTCAAGAGATTGAGACCATCCTGGTCAACATGGTGAAACACTGTCTCTACTAAAAATACAAAAAATTAGCTGGGCATGGTGGTGCGTGCCTGTAATCCCAGCTACTCAGGAGGCTGAGGCAGGAGAATTGCCTGAACCCAGGAGGCGGAGGTTGCGGTGAGCCGAGATCGCGCCTTTGCACTCCAGCCTGGGTAAACAAGAGTGAAACTCCGTCTCAAAAAAAAAAAAAAGTAAAGGCATTTAAGAGCAGCATGGTTCTGCTGGGGTCTGTCTGCTGCCCATTTTATCTCAGCAATAGACCTGGCCCAGGTCAGGAGAGCAGGCAGACACCTTTCTTCCTGCTCAGGCCCCTGCCCTCTTTGTTTTTCTGCCCTGAGGTGGCTGTGTGGTTCTGGTGGCTTTTCTCTCTCATCTCGTCTTGGGCTCCGTTATCTTTGGGCAAACTTACTGATGAATGGTAGCACCAACAGGCTGGGGAGGAGATGTGGGTCAGTGCTAAGTTGAAAGGATATCAGTAAGGAGCCTCTTGCTATAAATAATGGACATCACTCATTAGTGTGCCATCAAGCTTCATGGTATCCACACTGTGTGCTCATATAGAATCCTACCAACCCTCTGTTTACAGATGAAACACGTTCACAGAGGCTGCATGCATGAATCTGTCTGTCCCTGTGTAGGCTTTTACAAAGTTTGCATGTTGTGTATCCCCAGCCCATTACCAGTCAATATCTGTTAACTGTTACCTCCTAAATTATTCTCTGATCTGCCTGCTTCTTGCCATTGACAGCACCACCTCCCCTACAAGCCTTACCACAAGGACCTTCTAACTAGTCTCCACCAGCCCTTCTGTGCCCTCAGATTGTCTTTCTGTGCAACAGCCACAGTGTTTGTTTGGAAATTTAAATCTGAACATGTCAACTTGCCTAAGCACCATTGCAGTGACTGCCCAAAGCCCTTAAGAGGGAGACAAAATTCCTCAGTGTGGCTTACGGGGCTCTGCACTGGTACCTCAACGCTTTCTCCTGCCTCACTTTTCCCTCTCTCCTCCCTCTGTTCCAGCCCCACTGACCCTCTTAGTCCCTTGTTCTATCTCCCTTCTATCACAGGGCCTTTGCATGTGATCTGCATTCTGCCAGGCCCATCCTGCTGGCTCCTAGGCCAGGTTAATTCCTCCTCATCTGTCAGAGCTCAGTACAGATGTTATCACTCTCCAGGTTACACCTTCATTAGACATTCAAATAGCACCTTCTACTTTTCTTCAAATAACTAAATGAGATTGCAATTTTATATTGATTTGATTAGTTGATTAATGTTTGTGTATTTTCCCACTAGATTATAAATTCCTTCCATGAAGGCAGGGAGGTGTCTCTTTTGTTCTTGTTTGTTTGTTTTGAGATGCAGTTTCCCTACTGTCACCCAGGCTGGAGTGCAATGGCATGCTCTTGGCTCACTGCAACCTCCGCCTCCCACATTCAAGCGATTCTCTTGCCTCAGCCTCTCAAGTAGCTGGGATTACAGGTACCCACCATAACGCCCAGCTACTTTTTTGTATTTTTAGTAGAAATGGGGTTTCACTATGTTGGACAGGCTGGTCTCAAACTCCTGATCTAAGGCGATCCACCTTCCTCAGCCTCCCAAAGTGCTGGGATTACAGGTGTGAGCCACTGCGCCTGGTCTTCATTTTTTACATTTTTTTTAATGGAGATAAGATCTCGCTATGTTGCCCAGGCTGGTCTTGAACTACTGGCCTCAAGCAGTCTTCCTGCCTGGGCTTCCTAAAGCACTGGGATTACAGGTGTGAGCCACCACACATAGCCCACTGGGCTTTTTCTAAAGCTTTCTTTTAGGAGTCAATGTGTTACTGCTGAAGTCAATATAATGAAAACAAACTCATCATAAAGGCAACTACTAGGAGACCTAGAAAGAAATACATAAAAAACATTGGTACCTGGAAAGTACGGGACATAAGTTAGTGTGAGTTAAATTCTCACCATATTGAGGAGATAAGAGATACTGTCTGATGGACAAATTCACGAAGATATTACATAAGGGGATAATGATAACCACAGGAGAACAGAAGGCAGAAGGTGTGGGTGAGGGTTCCCTCTGGGAGAGGAGAGAAATCACTGTTTTTCATTTGCTTGCCCTTCAGAGCTGTAAATGTTCTTTTCTTTTATTTTTTTAGATGGGTCTAGCTGTTGCCCAGGCTGGAGTGCAGTGGCCTGATGACAGCTCACTGCAGCATCTACCTCTCAGGTTGAAACAATCCTCCCAACTCAGCCTCCCAGATTGTTGAGACTACAGGTGTGTACCACCATGCCTGGCTAATTTTTTGTTTTGTAGAGATGGGGTCTTGTCATGTTGCCTAGGCTGGTCTTGAACTCCTGAGCTCCAATGATCCTTCCACATTAGCCTCCTGTGTAGCCGGGACCACAGGCACCAGCTACCATGCCTAGCTAATTTTTAAAAAATGTTTGTAGAGACGCAGATTCCTATGTTACCCAGACTAGTCTCAAACTCCTGAGCTCAAGTGATCCTCCCACTTGGGCCTCCCAGAGTGTTGGGATTACAAGTGTGAGCCACTGTGCCCACCATTTTTTAAAATATTTTTTTTCCTTTTTTAAATGAAAAAAATTCCAAGACTGTGACAGCAGAACTTTATTATTATTATTATTATTTTTGAGATGGGGTCTCACTCTGTCACCCAGGCTGAAGTGCAGTTGTGCCATGTTGGTTCGCTGTGACTTTTCCCATGGAGGGTGTCCAGGTTCTTGGCGTTTTGAACAAGGAATTGGACAAAATGCACAAAGCAAGAAAAGAATGAAGCACCAAAAGCAGAGATTTATTGAAAATGAAAGTACAGGCCGGGTGTGGTGGCTCATGTCTGTAATCCCAGCATTCTGGGAGGCCAAGCTTGGGTAGATCACAAGGTTAAGAGATCCAGATCATCCTGGCTAACATGGTGAAACCCCATCTCTACTAAAAATACAAAAATTAGTCAGGCATGGTGGCATGCACTGGTAGTCCCAGCTACTCAGGAGGCTGGGGCAGGAGAATCGCTTGAACCCGGCAGGTGGAGGTTGTAGTGAGCCGAGATTGTGCCACTGCACTCCAACTTGGGCAATGAGTGAAACTCTGTCTCAATCAAAAAAAAGAAAGAAGGCCAGGTGCGGTGGCTCACGCCTATAATCCCAGCACTTTGGGAGGCCGAGGGGGGTGGATCACGAGGTCAAGAGATCGAGACCATCCTGGTCAACAAGGTAAAACCCCTTCTCTACTAAAAATACAAAAATTAGCTGGGCATGGTGGTGCGTGCCTGTATTCCCAGCTACTTGGGAGGCTGAGGCAGGAGAATTGCTTGAACCCAGGAGGCGGATGTTGCGGTGAGCTGAGATCGTGCCATTGCACTCCAGCCTGGGTAACAAGAGCGAAACTCTGTCTTAAAAAAAAAAAAGAAAGAAAAAATGAAGGTACATTCCACAGTGTAGCAGCTGGCTGAACACAGGGGCTCAAAAGCCCCTTTACAGAATTTTGGGGGGTTTAAATACTCTTTAGAAGTTTCCCATTGGTTACTTGGTGTACACCCTATGTAAATGAAGTAGTGGCCTGCAATCAGTCTGATTGGTTGTGCACAGCAATCAATCTGAAGTACTGTCAATTTCCCATCTGTGCCCCAGAACAGGGGACTGTTTGCAATGGCAGTAAGTAGCCTCTGGTCCTTTTGTTAGATAGGCGTGGAAAGTTGTGTTTTTTAAAATTTCAATTTAGTTCTAGGAAGTCAGAGTGAATCAGCCTTAGCTTCCCTGCTTCCAGACCTGATTCTCCTGCCTCACAAACTCCACCTGGGTTCAAGTGATCTTTCCACCTCAGCCTCCTAAGTAGCTGGAACCACAGGTGTACACCATCATGCCCAGCTAATTTTTTGTTCTGTTTGTTTGTTTGGTAGAGACAGAATTTCACCATGTTGCCCAGGCTGGTCTTGAACTCCGAAGCTCAAGCAGTCCATCCGCCTCGTCCTCCCAGAGTGCTGGGATTACAGACGTGAGCCACCGTGCCCGGGCCCATGTTTAAAATAATTACAGCTTTCTTCTGTTCTGATACTTTTTTTAAAGTTTAGAAATTTTCATTACAAAAGACTATACAAAAATACCCTGCCTTTAGAATGCAAGTGTATATGCCTAGAAATATTAGTCCTTGACACCTGTGTATAAGTGAGGTCTGCAGGTTTTCTCTGTATCAGGAAGTACAACAGGGGAGGGTCACGTGGTAATAAGCATGGCTTCCTAAGCAGTTGCCTTAGGGGAGCAGGCATGGTAGACTGGGCTTGATAAATTTGCCTTTACAAGCAGGCAAACTGCTTTTATAGGCCAGGCTGATAGCAGTTTACATTCAGACACACCTGGACTCTGGGGCACTGGTTCCATGGGAGCCATGGATAGCCAACCTCCGACTCCATCCACCAGCTGGGACTCTGCCCCCAGCAGTGCCACACTCTGGGCAAAAATCCCTGCCAGCCAGGGACCCTGCTTCTACGGAATTTGACCACAGCTTCTCGGAGCCAAGAGTGGATCTAGCCCCAGGAAGGTGGGATACAGAGGGATCTCAGGTGAGAACAACTCAGGTCCCGTTCCAGAGCTGGCCGTAAAGCAGTGATGAGAGCCCTGTACCCTTCAGGACCCCGGGCCCCTTCCTCCTCCCTGGCCATGGCAGCCTCTTGACCTTTGCTCATCTGAAGTTTATACCACTTTGGGCCCCAAATGCTGCTGAAAAGGAAACTGGGGCACGGCTCTAGTGTGCCGCTCACTGGCTGGCAGTGAGGAGCCAGGAGACTGGCGTTCCCGACACCAAAGGCCATTGATCTTTGCCCTTGCCCCTCCCTGGGAGCCTTGGCCCTCCTCCTGCCTTCCTCTCTTCCCTGCTGGCCTCTCCTGTTCTCTGTCTCCTCACTTCCCTCCGTGGCCCTGCTCTGAACCGGCGGTTTTTCACTGGTCCTTGCCCAGGCTAATCCTTCCATGCTGTCTTCAAGCCCTGCTTCCTGCACATCTCCCAGTCCGGACGGGGAGAACCCATGTAAGAAGGTCCACTGGGCTTCTGGGAGGAGGATAACATCATCCACAGACTCAGAGTCCAAGTCCCACCCGGACCCCTCCAAGCTACCCAGGTCCCGGAGACCCAGCCGCCTGACTGTGAAGTATGACCGGGGCCAGCTCCAGCGCTGGCTGGAGATGGAGCAATGGGTCGATGCTCAGGTGCAGGAGCTCTTCCAGGTGGGTAGAACAGGGGAGAGCAGGAGGAGATGGGGACCTGGGGCTGAGAACTTCACAGAAGCTGGAGGGCTGATGTGAGATGCTTCCGCGAAGGGAAAGCTTTTGTAACTGATGAAAGGAGAAAGCATCGGTCTGAAGTGCAGAAGTCTGCCTCCCTCTAGGCTTGGCTGTGCCTCTAATACTCTTTGTTAACTGGGGAAGGTCTTTTAACATCCCTAATCTATAAAATAGGACTGTTAGTGCCTGCTATGTCTCCTTTATAGGACTTTCTGAGGCTCAAATGAGATAGTAGAAGGGAAAATGTTTGGTCAGAGTATTTTTCAACATTTTATATCTCTATTTAGTCCCATCCTCAACACACAAACATGTCTAGAGCTACATTTTCTTTTCTTTTCTTTTTTTTGAGACAAAGTCTCGCTCTGTTGCACAGGCTGGAATGCAGTAATGCAGTCTCAGCTCAGTGCAACCCCCACCTGCCAGGTTCAAGTCATCCTCCCACCTCAGCCTCTTGAGTAGCTGGGATTACGGTGCGTGCCACCACACCTGGCAAATTTTTTTTTTTTGTATTTTCTTTCTTTTTTTTTTTTTTTTTGAGATGAAGTTTCACTCTTGTTACCCAGGCTGGAGTGCAATGGTACGATCTCGGCTCACCGCAACCTCCGCCTCCTGGGTTCAAGCAATTCTCCTGCCTCAGCCTCCTGAGTAGCTGGGACTACAGGCAAGCGCCACCATGCCCAGCTAATTTTTTGTATTTTTAGTAGAGACGGGGTTTCACCATGTTGACCAGGATGGTCTCGATCTCTTGACCTCATGATCCACCTGCCTCGGCCTCCCAAAGTGCTGGGATTACAGGCTTGAGCCACCGCGCCCAGCTGTATTTTCTTGTAGAGATGGTTTTTGCCATGTTGTCCAGGCTGGTCTTGAACTCCTGGGCTCAAACAGTCTGCCTACCTCGGCCTCTCATAGTGATGGGATTACAGGCGTTAGCCACCGTGCCTGGCCTAGAACTACATTTTCCGATACTGTAGCGATCAGCCATGTGTAGCTGTTTGATTTTAAATGAATTATAATTTAATAAAATTATTCAGTTCCCCAGTCACATGGGCCACATTGCAAGTGTTAAATGTGACTAGTGACTACTGTGCTGTCAGCACAAATACAGAACATTTTCCCTATTTCAGAATGGACAGCGTGGGACTAGAATGTCAAGAGTAACCAGAGTTAAGTGCCAATACCAGGACCAAAGTAATCCTTGACCCTGGCTCTGATTGACACCCCTCAGTACCACTCTGGGAAAAGGACAGGTCTTGGCCCCTGGTCACTGGAAATGGCACTTTCTTGTATACCTTCAAACCTGGATTCTAGAGAGGTAACAACTGCTGCTCCAGCAATAAGAATAACGTTTTGAACACTTAAATATTGGCTAGCCACAGTGCCAGGCACCAAAAATAACATGCATTCTTTCATTTAATTCTCCCCACAACTCCATTAAGCAGGTACTGGTTTTTTTTAGGCAGAGTCTTGTTCCATCGCCAGGTGCCAGGCTGGAGTGCAGTGGTGTGATCTCTGCTCACTGCAGCCTCCACCTCCCAGGTTCAAGCAGTTCTCCTGCCTTAGCCTCCCAAGTATCTGGGACTACCATGCCCAGCTAATTTTTGTATTTTAGTAGAGACGGGGTTTCACCATACTGGCCAGGATGATCTCGATCTCTTGACCTCGTGACCCACCCGCCTCGACCTCCCAAAGTGCTGGGATTACAGGCTTGAGCCACCATGCCCGGCCAGATCCTACGTTTTTGGGGCAGCAGGGCCCTGTAATTCCTGTGGGTAAGGGTTATCTGCAGTGCTAGGGTTGGAGGTGGAGAAGAATGACTGATGTGGACCAGTCTATCTTGAAACTAACTGGGTTGTGTGTCAGTTTGGTCAAGCTGTTGACCATGTCCCTTGTAGCATCCCAAGCATCTACCTCCCTTGCCCACTCATAAAGGGTGGGAGACGCCTTGGAGCTGGGAGGCAAACTGTCTTGGCCTGTGTCTGCTGGACACGTCCACTGTCCCTCACTAGTTCCAGCACCCTCTACTGGATCAGTTTCATTTTCAGATTGTTTGTTGTGCACTTGCATAAAGTCTCCAATTTCAGACACTCCAGGGCAAATCCTTCCAGGCATCAGGGAAAGACTGATGGTAGCTAAAGGACTTTGTTTTGCAAGATGAAAGTGGAGGGCTGGAAGTCATGCAGTAATAAATTTGTAACACAGAAAACAAGATATGTGGGAGGACCACTCCCAGGCAATGAGTGGAATAAAATGCCTGGCCCATGGTTGCCATGGCAATTGTCCAAAGGTGCCAGGTGGTGTTTTCTCTCCCAATCCCTGCTCTTCTCATCGGGAAGCAGTTAAGTGGCTGGGGAAGCCCCAGGTGGTTGGTCATCTTGGGTAGAGGTCAAGGCAGCACAGTCTTCAGCCTTACACCGCTCCATTCCAGTTCTATGCAGAGCCCCTGCCCACCCACCAGGGCTCTACCTCAAACACCCACCTTGGACAGCAGCAGTGGAAAAGCATCTAAGAATGCAGCACTTGTTTAGTATCATGAGGACAAACCTTCCTTTGTTGGAGGGCTCTACCTCTTCCTCCTGGATGTGCAGCCCAGTGTGGGGTCAAGTCTGGGGATGCAAACAGACTTGGGGTCCTGGAGCTCCTGTTGCCTGGAGGTAGAGCTTGGACTTCTAAGCAGGGACTTAAAAATGCATGGGTTTGTCCTATTTTATGGAGACCCTTGCCCAACATGCACCCCTTTAGTTACCATCCCCTCTATTTCTTCTTCTTTTTTTTTTTTTTTCCAAGACAGAGTCTCACTCTGTTGCACAGGCTGGAGTGCTGTGGCGCGATCTTGGCTCACCACAACCTCCACCTCCCAGGTTCAAGCAATTCTCCTGACTCAGCTTCCCAAGTAGCTGGGACTATAGGCATGCACCACCACACCTGGCTAATGTGTGTGTGTGTGTGTGTGTGTGTGTGTGTGTGTGTATTTTTAGTAGAGAATGGGGTTTCACCATGTTGGCCAGGATGGTCTCGATCTCTTGACCTTGTGATCCACCCGCCTCAGCCTCCCAAAGTGCTGGGATTACAGGTGTGAACCACCACGCCTGGCCTCTTTTTTCTTTTTGTGAGGTGGAATTTCATTCTTGTCACCCAGACTGGAGTGCAATGGTGCAATCTTGGCTCACTGCAACTTCTGCCTCCCAGGTTCAAGCAATTCTGCCTCAGCCTCATGAGCAGCTGGCATTACAGGTGCCTGCCACCACGCCCAGCTAATTTTTTTGTATTTTTAGTAGAGATGGGGTTTCACCATATTGGCCAGGCTGGTCTCAAACTACTGACTTCAGGTGATCCACCCACCTAGGCCTCCCAAAGTGCTGAGATTATAGGTGTGAGCCACCGCACCTGGCCTACCATCCCCTATTTCTTGTCACTTTAGAGCCAAACTCCTTAAAGGACTTGTTCACACTCACAGCCTTATTTACTTCTTCCCTGCCTATCATCACTCAATCCACTGGAATCTGGCTTCTGCTTCCACCACTCTATTGAGAGCTCCAGCCAAGGTCACCAGTCACTGCTTTGGGGATAAATCTAATGTTCACATTAGCAGGGGACACAGTTGACCACCTCAGAGTTTTGAAACATTCCTTTCCTGTAGTTTCCTTTTTGGTGTAGCAACATTTTAAGTAATGATTCTAAGGCCGGGCGCAGTGGCTCAAGCCTGTAATCCTAGCACTTTGGGAGGCCGAGGCGGGTGGATCACGAGGTCAAGAGATCAAGACCGTCCTGGTCAACGTGGTGAAACTCCGTCTCTACTAAAAATACAAAAATTAGCTGGGCATGGTGGTGCACGCCTGTAGTCCCAGCTACTCGGGAGGCTGAGGCAGGAGAATTGCTTGAACCCAGAAGGCGGAGGTTGCGGTGAGCTGAGATCGTGCCATTGCATTCCAGTTTGGGTAACAACAGTGAAACTCCATCTCAAAAAAAAAAAAAAAAAGATTCTATTAAACTTTTGACTTAAAAAAAGTATTGTCTGCTGGGCACAGTGGCTGACGCCTATAATGCCAGCAGTTTGGGAGGCTGAGGTGGGCAAATTGCTTGAGCCCAGGAGTTTGAGATTAGAATGGATAACATGGTGAAACCCTGTCCAAAAAAGAAAAATTAGCAGGGTGTGGTGGTGTGTGCCTGTGGTCCCAGCTACTTGGGAGACTGAGGTGGGAGGATTGCTTGAGCCTGGGAGGTCAGGACTGCATTGAACCATGATTGTGCCACTGTACTCCAGCCTGGGTGACAAAGCAAAAAAAAAAAAAAAAAAAAAAAAAATATTGTCAATGAATGTGTGAAACAAACATTTGTGTTTAACTTAAACAATTGTCAGTTCACCTGAGCCTTATTTCATTGCTGGTCTCCCTGGTGGATATGTCAGGAGTAAGGGGCCTGGGTATGGAGAAGAGGTAAGAAGGAGCAAGTCAGGCAGCATCTTCCAGGAAACCACCCTACATGACATAGAGTCACATGTTTCACGCTTGTTCATCTCAGTAGGGGTTTTATATACCTGTTTATTTTCTGAGAATTCAAAAATTATTTGGGGCAAGAGTATTTAGACTGTGATGTGAGCCCATATTGTCAACACCAGATTGCAGTGGCAGTCCTTTTTTTAAATTTTTTTGAGATGGAGTTTTGTTCTTGTCGCCCAGGCTGGAGTACAGTGGTGTGATCTCAGCTCACTGCAACCTCTGCCTATAATCCTAGCACTCCGGGAAGTTGAGGCAGGAGAATTGCTTGAACCCAGGAGGCAGAGGTTGCAATGAGCTGAGATCACACCACTGCACTCCAGCCTGGGCAACAGAGCAAGACTCCATCTCAAAATAAATAAATAAAATATGGCTGGGCACAGTAGCTCTTGCTTGAAATCCCAGCACTTTGGGAGGTAGAGGCAGGCAGATCACGAGGTCAGGAATTCAAGACCAGCCTGGCCAACACAGTGAAACCCTGTCTCTGCTGAAAATAAAAAAATTCGCTGGTCGTGAGGCCAGGTGCCCGTAATCCCAGCTACTCAGGAGGCTGAGGCAGGAGAATCTCTTGAACCCCAGAGGCAAGGTTGCAGTGAGCTGAGATCACGCCACTGCACTCCAGTCTGGGCGACAGAGTGAGACTCTGTCTCAAAAAAAAAAAAGTGGCTGGGCAGGGTGGCTCACACCTGTAATCCCAACATTTTGGGAGGCTGAGGTGGGTGGACTGCTTGAGCCCAGGGATTAGAGACCAGCCTGGGCAACATGGTGAAACCCCATCTCTACCATAAATATATACATTAGCTGGGCGTGGTGGTGATTGCCTGTGATCCCAGCTACTCTTGCTGGAGCCCGGGAAATTGAGGCTGCAGTGAGCCGTGATTACACAACTCCAGCCTGGGCTATAGAGCAAGAACCTTCTAAAAAAAAAAAAAGCAGTACACACTGAAAAATACCATTAGATTCAACTATGTAAACATATACACCTATTTCCCCAGCCGCACCCCTCCCACATAATACTTTAATCATATGTGGAATCTAGGGTTAATCTGAATTTAATAATTTTAAAATAGAGTTCTTAAATCAGTAACAAAAAACTGAAAATCCCAACAGAAAAATGGATAACGTGTCAGTTCTTGAAGTGTGGTCCAGTGACCCATGGAGGTTCCCAAGAACTCTTTCAGAGGTTCCGTGATTACTTTCATAGTAACACAAACATATATATATATATATATAATTTTTTTTTTTTTTGAGATGGAGTTTTGTCCTTGTTTCCTGAGCTGGAGTGCAATGGCGTGATCTCAGCTCACTGCAACCTCTGCTTCCTGGGTTCAAGCAATTCTCCTGCCTCAGTCTCCTGAGGAGCTGGGATTACAGTCACGCACCATGCCTGGCTAATTTTTTGTATTTTTGGTAGAAATGGGGTTTCACCATGTTAGCCAGGCTGGTCTCAAACTCCTGACCTCAAGTGATCCACCTGCCTCAGCCTCCCAAAGTGCTGGGATTATGGGCATGAGCCACCATGTCCAGCAAGATTATTATTATTTTTGAGATAGTCTTGCTTTGTCAGCCAGGCTGGAGTGCAGTGGTGTGCGATCTCAGCTCACCACAACCTCCACCTCCCGAATTCAAGCAATTCTCCTGCCTCAGCCTCCTGAGGAGACATGGCACCACACCTGGCTAATTTTTGTATTTTTCGTAGAGACGGGGTTTCCCCATGTTGGTCAGGCTGGTCTCAAACTCCTGACCTCAAGCAATCCACCAGCCTTGGCCTCCCAAAGTGCTGGGATTACAGGCATGAGCCACTGTACCTGACCTGTTAATGTGTTCTTATCTTATTTGGGTAAATAGCAAAGAGTGCAATGAATGGATTGCAAGATAAGAGTGTGTTTAGGGCCAGTCATGGTGGCTAATGCCTGTAATCCCAGCACTTTGGGAGGTGGAGGTGGGAGTATCATTTGAGCCCAGGATTTTGAGACTTCTGTCTCTACAAAAAATAAAAAATTAGCTGGGTGAGGTGGACCTGTCGTCCCAGCCACTTGGGAGGTTGAAGTGGGAGGATCCCTTGAGTCTGGTAGGTCAAGGCTGCAGTGAGCCTTGATCATGCCTCTGCACTGCAGCCCGGGTGACAAAGCAAGAATTTGTCTCAAAAAAAAAAATTTTTAGTTTTGTCAGAAACCACCAAACTGTCTTCCAAAGTAGCCATACCATTTTGCATTGCCACCAGCAATGAATGACTTGAATGTTTCAATTTCCAACTCCCGAATGACATATGATGTTGAGTATCTTTTCATGTACTTACTATCCATCTATATCTCTTCTGTGGGGTGTCTGTTCATATCTTTCACCCAGGCTAGTGCAGTGGTGTGGTCTGCTCACTGCAACTGAAGCAGGAGCAGCTGCAAGAAACAGACCTCTGGAACACCGAGGTGTTTATTATTATTACAGCTTGGAGCCTGGCAACAATTTGTCTAAATGACCAACCTCCTCTAACAAAGAGAAGCTCTGCCTTCCTATAGGCTTACACTCTAGATATTACACATGAAAGAATCTTAGGTTCACAGCCTTAGAAATTACAAGTGAAGGGGTCTTGGGTTTACAGTTTTAGAAATCACATACGAAAAGGTCTTGGTCGATGGAGGAGTGGGGTGAGGGTTTGATCTTGTTTAAGTAAAAACAATGTCTTCTGGAAGGATTCCTTCACACCATGCCTGCTATTTACAGGAGGGTGATTTAGGAGGCGCCAGTCGGAGAGCCTTTTCTTCTATTGAAATGCAGTGTGGAAGTCAAGGAGGAGGTGATCCTAGATGCCTGGGTCTCCTTCCTTACCACCTCTGCCTCCCAGATTCAATCAATTCTCCTTCTTCAGCTGCTGGAGTAGCTGGGATTATGGGTATGCACAACCACACCCAGCTATTTTTTAATTTTCAGTAGAGACAGCATTTCACCATGTTGGCCAGGCTAGTGTCAAACTCCTGACCTCAAATGATCTACCTGCCTCTGGACTCCCAAAGTGCTGGAATTACAGGCACGAGCCACTACGCCTTGCTTTTTTTTTGAGACAGTCTCACCCAGGCAGGCTGAAGTACAGTGGCATGATCTTGGCTCACTGCAACCTCCACCTCCTGGTTCAAGCCATTCTCCTGACTCAGCCTCCCGAGTAGCTAGGATTACAGGCATGTGCCACCACGCCTGGCTAATTTTTGCATTTTTAGTAGAGACAAGGTTTCACCATATTGGCCAGGCTGGTCTCGAACTCCTGACCTCAAATGATCCACCTGCCTTAGCTTCCCAAAGTGCTGGGATTACAGATTGAGCCATCATGCTGGGTGAAGAATTCTTTGTTTATTTTGGAAAACAGTCCCTTATCAGATGTCTTCAATTTTTTTTTTGAGATGAGGACTCCCTCTGTCACCCAGGATGGACTTCAGTGGCACTCTCTTGGCTCACTGCAACCTCCACCTCCCAGGTTCCAGGTTCAAGCAATTCTCCTGCCTCAGCCTCCTAAGTAGCTGGGATTACAGGCAGCCACCACCATGCCTGGCTAATTTTTGTATTTTTAGTAGAGACAGGGTTTCACCATGTTGGCCAGGCTGGTCTCGAACTTCTGACCTCAGGTGATCCACCTGCCTTGGCCTCCCAAGTGCTGGGATAACAGGCATCAGGCACCTCACCTGGCCAAAATATAGTAAATGTTTAGTAAATTACTGTTGAATGGAAAACTGAATGGGTGTTCCGAGTGAGGAGAAAGTCTAACCATGGGAATTTGGAGAGAGGTGGGTTGAGTCCCTGAGTTACCTTCATTCCAGCACCAGCTGGTCAGGCCGCTCTGAGACCCATGTGATTTCCAAATAGGATCAAGCAACCCCTTCTGAACCAGAGATTGACCTGGAGGCTCTCATGGATCTATCCACAGAGGAGCAGAAGACTCAGTTGGAGGTAGGATGGGGGCTAGAAGCTGCCCTTGGGTCAAGGGGAACCCAGGAACTCAGGTTCTGCCTCCTTCAGTGGAGTGAAGAGAACCAATCCAGAGGGGAGAACTCTTAGAGATTGGTGGGAGCTTGTGGGAAAGTGCTGTGACTTGGGGGCCACTCTTTGCTCTTTCCTATCTAGGCCATTCTCCGGAACTGCCCCCGCCCCACAGAGGTAAGGGATATTCTGCTGGTCTGGGGTAAGAGGAGGCCCAATGGGGGAGGCAGCTAATGAAGAGGAGTATTTGAAGGGAAGGCTTGGCTGTGCCTTCTCCCTTCTTTAGGGAGACAGGGTCGGTGCAAGATTAGGGAGGGCAGGGAGGGGGTGGATTGTGACCCCCAAGCCTTGGTCTCACTCCTGGTTCTCCCTCAGGGTTTTATCTCTGAGCTGCTAAGTCAACTCAAGAAACTCCGGAGACTCAGTCGACCTCAGAAATAAGCCCGGGAGATCATCTTTAGCAGCCTCAGCATTACCAGGCCTGCCCTGACACTCCAGATCCTGACTAACAGGGAAACATCTCCTTGGGACACAAACAAGAAATGTGGACAAGGAGGGACATTTGCACACTCCTACTGTCTGTGTGCTCACAGCTAGTTTCTGTCAGCTGGGCTCTTTGGGAGAGGGCTGGCTGTTGTCCAATGCTTTCCCTGGCAGCCAAGTGGATAAAACCTTTAGGAGCCTCAGCTCAATGGAGTGTGGAACATATCTGTGCTAAGGGACAGGGGAGGGAGAGGATGAAGTGATACACAGGAAGGCCACAACCTGAGTCACTAGGCTGCACCCACATGTCATCCATCCATCCATCCCTCCAAAGGACTCAAGAATTCAAAGACAAAGGTCACAGCTCCACTTCAGAGAAATCACAATCTAGCAAGGCCAAGGGGCCAAGCAGACATCAGTTGCCTAAGGTACATAGCTTCCTGGCATAACCAACAAGAGGGAAGCCAGTGGCAAAGACTAATTTCAAATCCTAGAGAGGAAGTAACAGGAAAAACCTAGCTGGATCTGAGTCTCAACCACAAATGATGCAGGAGGTAGACCTCAGCCTGAGGGTTCTTTCTTGAGTAGGTTCCAGCCAGGGGTATGAAGAGAAACAGCAGAGGCATGAAAAGGATACATGCTGAGAGGCCAAGGGTCGGGTTAGGGTGAGTTACTGGGAGAGAGATGCTGAGACTGAATGGCAGGCAGGTTGGAGGGAGTCCTAGGAGGCGGGGACCTTTGCCAGTAACGCTGGAAGCATGGCGTGTGTGCATTGTTACTGCATGCATTATGTGAGTAGTAGAGAGGCTGAGAAACCCAACAAGGTGGGGCCTGGTGGCTAAGTGGGGCTGCCCAGAGCTGGAAGCACAGTTCAGTTTAATGAATGTGCATGCTTACTTCGTAAGAAACTACCAGAATGGGTAGGGCTGCTCCTGCCTGGAGAAGTTCATAGGATGGCTCAACCATTTCCCTTATTCCCCACAACTGTGCTTATAAGCCTGCTCTATTCCTGCCACCTCTCACTGGGACCAGGCTCATAGGGTTGTAGAAATGAGATGGTGGATCCAATGAATCAATATACTTTATTAGATCCACTAAGTGTCAAGGGAGAGCCCTGTGCCCTAGAGTCAGGTTACAGGGCTCACCTATAGATTCAGTCTGGTCTCTCCCCATCATGCCTCTCACTTCCAGTCTGGGCTTCTAGTAGGAGGGCCTCTACTTCTTTCCTTGGCCCTCACAGTCATCCTCTCGAATGGAGGATCTTTCTTCATTCCAGGGAAACCAACGCTCATATGAAGGGGCCTATCCATCATCAGTAGAGCCAGAGAAGTTCTCCCATTGGTCATCCTGTGGCTGGGCCCAGAAACCGGTGCTGCCTGCTGTGGGACTGCCTTTCCGGGAGAACCAGGGTGTCGTCAGTGCTCTTGGCTTGCACGCGGAGGGCAATAGGCAGATGTCTGGTGCTCTTTAAGCTCAAAGGCATCATGGCCTTCCCTGTGGAACAAAGGGATACAAGTTAGGGATCCAGGCAGCCCTTGAGCCCTCCCATAGGACATTCCACCTGTACCCACCGGAAGCAGCGGGCACAGAAGAGGTCACCATTGCAGCCAGCACAGCGCAGGGAGGCATCCTCATTGCAGATGCAGCACCAGGGGAGCTCTTCTTCCTCAGCCTCAGGCCTGGGGTCCATATCCTGGGCCTTCAGGGACCAGAGAGGAATGGAAGAAGTAAGGTACCCAGTGGGGTGGGGGAGTTGCTGGGAGAGCAGTCAGCCAGACAGGAAACAAGGCTGTGGGTGGCCTGGGAGTCTGCATCTGGGACATTTCTCACCTCAGGCCCTACCCTGTGGGGTCGAGAAGCCGGCTCCTCAGGGATGTTAAAGCCACTTGCCTCATCCAGGGCAGCTTCTTCAGTGAGCTGTGGACGAGATCAAGAGGTACCACTCCCTGCTCCAAGCCCAGGCCCCCCCACCTCCCAGTATTTCTGTGTTCTGTGGACTTAGCTTCTCAAACTCATCTTTTTCTTTATTTGTGGCCTGTGGCTGCTGATTCCCTATCTCAAGGAACCAGTGGGCAGGTCTGGGTCACAGGAACAAAGGAGGCCTGATGGGAACAGGGCTGCACAGTTACTGCCCACCCAGCCTCAGAGTGGAGGTGGGGCAATGAGGTAGAGAGATGAGATGGGGTAGCGGGTGGATAAGCCAGGCCCACCTGCTGCAGGACTCTCTGGATGGCTGTCTCCTCATCCTCGTCATCATCACTGTCTGGGAGGCGATAGTCCTGAAGGGTGACTTGAAGAGGGAGAGACAGGAACAGGGGAAGGGAGAGTGAGGGTGAGAGATTCTACCTGAGTGGCTGCCCTCCTGCCTCTCAGAAGTGGTTTGGTTCCCAGGGGCACTTATTCCAGAGCTGAGAAGCCTCTTCAGCCACCTTAATGAGACCTGTTTCTGCCTTCCCCAGCTGTACAGGGCTGGGCCATCACTGAAGCAGGCTTCAGGGTTGGGTTAGGGGCAGGAACAGAAGCCTCAGCCCCTGAATGGACTGAAAGTCTCCTGCCCTTATGGCTGCCCCGACTCCTCACCCACTGTTTTGCTCCACCACCTTCCTTGTGGCTCTGGGCTGGGCTCAGCAGATCTCTGGGCACAGGTACCCCCAACACCTCACTCAGCCCTGCCAGGGAGGCCTTGACCCAGGGACACCAGTGAGCAGCTGCTCCCCAGCCTTCACCTCTCTCAGGGTCCTGTCCCCGCAGCACAGCCAGTCGCTTGGCCAGGGCCAGGATCCGTTCCTGCCTTGTGTTCTCCTCCCGCAACTCAAGTGCTGCCTCAGCCAGCAATCTGCTCTTCTCTTCCTCCAGGGACCAGCTGGCCAGGCCCTTGGAATTAGTGTTCCCTGGGCCACCCTGGTTGAGGTCATTCTGGAGAAAGGCAGCTGGAAGGGGCAATGTCATCAGGGAGGCAGACACATTCCAAGATCTCCCCTCAGAAGCCATTGAGCCCATTTCTCAACCCTTTCTAACAACAGATCATCAGCTTTTTGATCAGCACTAGCACCTAATGGTTTCTATTACAAATAAAATCAGTATTCCTCCATTTTTCCAAATGTAAAAGGCTCGTAATCTTAGCCGTGTCTTTTTCAACTACATCCATCCCCATCTACCTGATGTTTTAACATTCTGCCCTTGGGGTGGGTGACCTATGGTTTGAAAATCACTGCCCTAAAGGATCGGCCTTTTAGGGCAGGATGAAGAGGTACCGCAGACAGCGTGCTAGGCGCTCTCTGTGCTGACACAGATCAGCATAGACAGGGCAATGGAGGAAGCTAAGAGCTTGTACATCACTGGGCAGGAAGCATTTTGCCAGACTAGGTGTGGCTCTGACACGGTCACCTTCAATTTAGCATTTCAGAGCAAGAGGTTTAAAATCAGTTTAGGTTTAAGTGTTGGTTCTGCAGCTTAATAGCTGTGTGACCTTGGTCAAGTTCCTCAAGCTCACCAGGCCTGTTTCCTCATTTATGAAAAAGAATAGTATATACCTTACAAGATTTTGGGTATTTTTTTGAGACGGAGTTTCCCTCTTGTTACCCAGGCTGGAGTGCAATGGCGCGATCTCGGCTCACCGTAACCTCCGCCTCCTGGGTTCAGGGAATTCTCCTGCCTCAGCCTCCTGAGTAGCTGGGATTACAGGCACGTGCTACCATGCCCAGCTAATTTTTTGTATTTTAAGTAGAGATGGGGTTTCACCATGTTGACCAGGATGGTCTCGATCTCTTGACCTCGTGATCCACCCACCTCAGCCTCCCAAAATGCTGGGACTACAGGCGTGAGCCACTGCGCCCGGCCTTTTTATTTTTTATTTTTTTGGGATTTTGTTTTTTTAAAACAGTATCTTACTATGTTGTCCAAGCAGGTCTCAAACTCCTGGGCTCCAGCTATCCCCCCTCCTGCCTCTGCCTCCTTAAGTGTTTAGGATTACAGGTGTGAGCCACCACACCTAGCCTCATGAGATTACTGAGGATATTCAATGAGAATGTGCCTCTAAGGCAGGATTTCTCAATCTTAGTAATTCTTCCCTGTGATAAGCTGTCCTGTGCCACCACAGAATTAGTAGCATCCCTGGTTTCTATCCTCTAGGTGCCAGGAACATTCTCTGAGTTGTGACAACCAAAAAGTCTCTAAATGTTGCCACAAGTAGCCTGGGGGGGCAAAATCATCCTTCATTGAAAAATACTGCTCTGACGCCTTCAGACAGCACTGTCCAATAAAATGTTCCACGATGATGGAAACATTCCATATCATGTTCTTTATCTGCGCTGTCCAAGATGGTAGATCTGAAGCCCATGTGGCTGCTGAGCACTGAGGTGTGCCTGGTGCTGCTAAATAGCTTCTGCCTCCTTATCAACATCATGACTGCAGAGAATATTCACTGAGCTCTCCCCGTGAGTCAGGTGTGGTCCCAAGCACTTACTGGTTTATCTCATTTACTCCTCATGACCTCCTTGTGAGGCAGGTTTTTCCATACATACTTTCATTTTACACATGAGGAAAGTGAGACTGAGGTCAAGTAACTTGTCCAGTGTCACACAGCTAATTTGTGGTAGAACTGGGAATCACTGATTCTAAAGCACTTAAACACTAGGCTTGCACTGGCTCCCTTTAGAGTAAGCACTCAGTGAATGGTCTTGTCATGTTTATCACTCTCTGATTTATATTCATCTCCCAAAGGGTGAATAGCAGAGCTGCTCCCATCTGGGGAAAGAGGTGGGGCAGGTTCCTGGGGAGCCAAGTGGAGGGGTTACCTGGGCCTCCTCCTTTCCAGCTGTCATCGATAGCCACCTCAGCTGCCAGCTGCGTTAGCAGATCCTGTGTCTGCTGGGCTTGAGTCCTGGTGTCTGGTGTGTGATGTGCCTGCCCAGATGAGGGAACCTCAGTGGAGAGCAGGGGTAGCCCAGAAGCAGTCTAGGTCAGGGATGGATGCTAAGGAGTTCTCAAAGCCCAGGAAAAGGAGACAGATCCAGGGCCCACATAACCAACAGGTCTGGCAGTCCCCAGTAGGACTGAGGGGCCACTCTTTCCTGCCCTACCTAATCCTGCTGTTTGCCCCTGGTCCCCTGGTCTGGTAACAGACCTGAGGATCAGGAGGTAGGGGTGGGAGGCTTTGTCAACGCCTTCAAACTACATAAAGCACAAAGGTTGCTGCAAAAGT